TGTGGTCGACCTCTTGAACAAGTCAGCTGGCGTGCAATTGCTATTAATCTATCAATATATTTACTAAATTGGGTAGCCATCTTGAATCCGATTTAAAACTAAATAAAAATCACTAAAGTAATCGCATTTATTTTTAACGTTTCAATAAAACCCACTATTTGTAGGTCATGTGGCCCACTTCATGTATTTATAATATAATGATAACAACTATGACAATTAAATACACAATGAGTTGCAGGGACTTATACTACAACAACAAATGATCAAAGACAGCTTAGAATGAACTCTTGTGTACTGAAGGCATTGAAGTACATATAAGGAATATTGTATTTACTATATTGGAAGCACATCGTAAATACACATGAAGAAAAAAATGTGTTTATTGCATGCAAAATCATAGACCATATATGATGACTTAATATTTTGGTCATATATCTTGTCAGACAAAACAAACAAAATTATAGCACTCGTTGCATATCCCTACCTGCACCAGTACTTAAGATATTACAGTTATGCATATTAATGAGGTCACATGATGATATATAGTCATCGGATACCTTAGTCATATAACACTGTGAGATGTCTTCATTATAACACTGGTCATATGTCCTGTGTACTTCCTGCTGTGTTATCAAGATGTTCTCTATCTGTGCTTAGTACATTACAGTTACGCATATTAAGGACATATGCTCAGTGCCAAATTGTGATTAATTTACAAATTACAATAGGTCACGTTGACATTTTATCATAGAATTTGTAACCCGGTGGACACGTTAAAAAAGCTTCTTCATTCATAATTTTTAGTCATCTACAAACGAGTGCCTACCCATGAGCCTTTGTGTTTTTAGCATGCATTCTTATCGTTGCTTGGGACTCATTTCTCTGTTTGCGCGCAGATGACGACCCTCAAGTCCCATGTTTGGTTTAGGAACATCTCGTTTGATGCCATAGATTTGTTTATTTCTTTACTTCTGTAGCCCATAGTTATCTTTCTAACTACTCAGTTGTTTTTGATTAGAATGATTATTGCTACAGTTTCTCTATAAATTACGCCCTCGCCAGGAACGAATGTTTACAATGTCAAGACTTTTGATCTGTAGTTGTTTATCAACAAAACAATTAAAATTTGATACCGGTATATATTCTAGATGAAGAATGACATCAAACACAGTTATGTCATTTTGATGTCATATACACGCTTCATTGATAAAGGGCAGGTAGTTGACATGACTTGAACAACATAGACTGCTTGGTAGTGTGTCTATTCAGTGTTGAAAGCATAAAGCAACAAATTACTCATTTAACTGATATTATGAATTTAATGGTGATTTCTAACAATAAAATATAAACATTTGACAATGTATTTAACTGATATGTGAAATAAATCAACTGTACATGAATTGATACAGGTAAGGGTGTCAATAAAGTTTGCACAACAAAGCGCAGATGAACAAGTCAATACAATTTTCACTTGTGAAAAACTAAATTCAATGAAGTCTGATTTAATAAAAGTACTTCATTAGATGCAAAATACAACGCTAGTGATGAAATTTGTGAATTCTCCATGATTATTTATTTTTAGACTTGAATTCTAAGCAAATATAACACTGATGTATGTGAATCTACTGCAACAGGCTTAGTTTAGGTTCACTTTTCTGACGCACGTTTACAACATTAAATGTACAGAGTTTTCCAGTGTACTTTGTGATATCTGCATCAAGATATCTAGGGTAACTTTATTCATCAAAATGTTTTGTACATCTAATGAAATTTCAACACATCAAATGTTGTCAGAATTGAAAACAATTCTTGCGTATATACTATATG